TTTAAAGTATTTTTAGTAACACTCAGTAAACACCAAATGCCTAGGAAAAATAATACATATAAGATCTACATGCTGAAAACAGAAAATATACTGAGGTAAATTAACAAACTCCTAAACAAAAGGGAAATATGCCTTGTTCATGACTTGGATGATTCAAGAAAGTTAAGATGACAATGATCCTAAAACTTTATCTACAGAATCTTGCATGGTCATGGCAGGAGTAAAAGGATTCTTTCCATAATATTAATTTTTTTAGATAATACTGGGTGGAAGTCAAATCAATATGTTTGCCTCTATAAGAGAACTATCATTAAAGACTAGAACAAATCTAATTTTATATGTCTATAAAATTGATTCAGTGTTAGATTACTGGTAGCTAAAATACCTAAAAATTATGCACTGTAAACTTAAGAGTAAAAGATGTATCTAAACTATATCAGGTGAAGATTTATGTTAGACAAAAATAAGTTTTTTCTTTTGTGAACTCATATATTTTTATAGGAGAAAAGGGATTTTTAATTGAGTAAAGATATAACACCTATTAAAACTACTGTAAATACAAATAAAATCCTATAGAAACACACGTGTAGACTAGTCAAGGCAACCACACATGAACATATAGAATTTCATTTCCAACAAATAGAGAACATATATTTGTTATTAAGCCAGTAGGTACCATTTGTAATATTTTGCTATGTATTATTATGTAACAAGAACAGCTCAATAAATTCCAAACTCTATGATATAAGCTTTAGTATTTTACTTAAAGCAAAAAAGTAAACATTAATAACTAAGTATAAACACAAAAGACTTTGCCATTAAAAGGCACTATCTATGCAACATGCTGGATATGTTCTATATTTTTTTTAAGTTTATTTATTTACTTTGAGAGAGAGAGAGAGCATGCATGCTAGTGGGGGAGGGGAGAGAGAGAGGGAGGGAGAGAATACCAAGCAGGCTCCCTGCTGTCAGCACAGAACCCAATGTGGAACTCAAGCTCACAAACCCGTGAGATCATGATCTGAGCTGAAATCAAGAATCATAACCAACTGAGCCACCCAGGCACCCATATTCTGTATTTTGATTCACATGGTAATTCCATGTATATATATGTGTGTTCCATGGACTTACATTTCCAATTTGTATTCTCCCAACTATGATTCTTTCATTATTTCTTAGAAATTTTTCTTAGAATGTTAGGATTATAACTTTTATCTGCTCTGTTCCATTTTTAATTTTTTAATTATTTTTGTTTAGAATATTTCTTTTTTCTTTATATATATTATATACATATTATATATGCACATTATATATATATAATATATATATTATATATATATAAATTATATATATATATATATATATATATATATATATATATATAATTTATTGTCAAATTGGTTCCCATACAACACCCTGTGCTCATCCCAACAGGTGCCCTCAATGCCCATCACCCACTTTCCCCTCTTTCCCACCCCCACCAACCCTCAGTTTGTTCTCAGTATTTAAGAATCTCTTGTGGTTTGCCTCCTTCCCTCTCTGTAACTTATTTTCCCCCTCCCCTCCACCCTGGTCTTCTGTTAAGTTTCTCAGGATCCACATATGAGTGAAAACATATCGTATCTGTCTTTCTCTGCCTGACTTATTTGACTTAGCATAATACTCTCCAGTTCCATCCACGTTGCTACAAATGACCAGATTTAATTCTTTCTCATTGCCAAGTAGTATTCCATTGTATATATAAACCACATCTTCTTTATCCATTTGTCAGTTGATAGACATTTAGGCTCTTTCCATAATTTGGCTATTGTTGAAAGTGCTGCTATAAACATTGGGGCACAAGTGCCCCTATGCATCAGCACTCCTGTATCCCTTGGGTAAATTCCTAGCAGTGCTACTGCTGGGTCATAGGGTAGATCTATTTCCAATTTTTCAAGGAACCTCCACAGTGTTTTCCAGAGCAGCTGCACCAGTTTGCACTCCCACCAACAGTGCAAGAGGGTTCCCGTATCTCCACATCCTCTCCAGCATCTATATACTCCTGAATTGTTCATTTTAGTCACTCTTAACAATGTGAGGTAGTATCTCAGTGTGGTTTTGATTTGTATTTCCCAGATGAGGAGCAACGTTGAGCATCTTTTCATGTGCCTGTTGGCCATGTGGATGTCTTCTTTAGAAAAGTGTCTATTCATGTCTTCTGCCCATTTCTTCACTGGATTATTTGTTTTTCAGGTGTGGAGTTTGGTGAACTCTTTATAGATTTTGGATACTAGCCCTTTGTCCAATATGTCATTTGCTAATATCTTTTCCCATTCTGTCTGTTGCCTTTTAGTTTTGTTGATTGTTTCCTTTGCAGTGCAGAAGCTTTTTATCTTCATGAGGTCCCAGTAGTTCATTTTTGCTTTTAATTCCCTTGCCTTTGGAGATGTGTCGAGTAAGAAATTGCTGCGGTTGAAGTCAGAGAGGTTTTTTCCTGCTTTCTTATCTAGGGTTTTGATGGTTTCCTGTCTCACATTCAGGTCCTTTATCCATTTTGAGTTTGTTTTTGTGAATGGTGTAAGAAAGTGGTCTAGTTTCATCCTTCTGCATGTTGCTGTCCAGTTCTCCCAGCACCATTTGTTAAAGAGACTGTCTTTTTTCCATTGGATATTCTTTCCTGCTTTGTCAAAAATTAGTTGGCCATACTTTTGTGGGTCCAATTCTGGAGTCTCTATTCTATTCCATTGGTCTGTGTCTGTTTTTGTGCCAATACCATACTATCTTGATAATTACAGCTTTGTAGTAGAGGCTAAAGTCTGGGATTGTGATGCCTCCCGCTTTGGTTTTCTTCTTCAATATTACTTTGGCTATTCAGAGTCTTTTGTGGTTCCATACAAATTTTAGGATTGCTTGTTCTAGCTTCGAGAAGAATGCTGGTGCAATTTTGATTGGGATTGCATTGAATGTGTAGATTGCTTTGGGTAGTATTGACATTTTAACAATATTTATTCTTCCAATCCATGAGCACGGAATGTTTTTCCATTTCTTTGTGTCGTCTTCAATTTCCTTCATGAGCTTTCTATAGTTTTCAGCATACAGATCTTTTACATCTTTGGTTAGGTTTACCCCTAGGTGTTTTATGCTTCTTGGTGCAATTGTGAATGGGATCAGTTTCTTTATTTGTCTTTTTGTTGCTTCATTATTAGTGTATAAGAATGCAACTGATTTCTGTACATTGATTTTGTATCCTGCGACTTTGCTGAATTCATGTATCAGTTCTAGCAGACTTTTTGGTGGAGTCTGTGGAGTTTTGCATGTAGAGTATCATGTCATCTGTAAAAAGTGACAGCCTGACTTCATCTTCACCAATTTTGATGCCTTTGATTTCATCTGTTCCAGTTTTTAATTGCTGGGTAAAAATTTTCATCTGTTTTTGTCAACTTTTTTCTAGTTAATTTTAAAAATCTGTATTAGTTTGCTAGTGCTGCCATAACAAAAATGCTAAAGACCAGAGGACTTAAACAACAGAAATGTATCACAGTTCTGGAGGCTGGATGTCCACGATCAGGGTGCAAGCAGGTCTGATTTCTCATGAGGTCTCTTCTCTTGGCTTACAGATGGCTAACTTCTTGTTGTGTCCTCACATGGCCTTTTCTCTGTGAATCCACATCCCTGGTGTCTCCCTACTCAAAGGACACCAGTCTTGTTGGATTAGAGCTCACTGAAATTATCTCATTTAACCTAATTACCTCTTTAAAGGTCCTATACTGAAATACAACCACATTCTGAGGTGTACTGGGGGTTAGGACTTCAATGTATGAATTTTGGGGGGACACAATATAGTAGAATAGGTTAGCAAGAAAGTTGTTCTGTTCTTCATCACAATTTTTTCTTATAGAATGTTGGTATGAATGCTGTGTCCATTCCCTTTTAATTTCTTATATTAGAATTCATTGTATTTATCTCTATAATTGGGAGGCTCTGGTCTGTGTGTGTTGATTGAAGGGGAGGGTGGTTTCTAAGTGCTGCTTTCTAGTCTTTACCTCTCAAAGGCGCCCTCCTTAAAATATATAACATTTTCTTTTTTTTAATGTTTTATTTATTTTTGAGAGAGAGAGGGAGATACGGAATCTGAAACAGGCTCCAGGTTCCGAGCTGTCAACACAGAGCCCAACATGGGGCTCGAACTCTGACCAGCAAGATCATGACCTAATTCTGAAGACAGACATGGGGCTTGAACTCATGAAACATGAGATCATAACCTGAGCCAAAGTCAGACACTTAACTGACTGAGCCACCCAGGTACCCCAATAACATTTTCTTTCAGAAATGGTTTGGTTACTAAGAATTGGTGCAAAACAGTTTTAAAAAAAATCTGTCAAAATTTGTATCAAAAGATTTATAAGAACAATTTAAAAATAGTCAATAGCTTCTGGTAGTCCATAAGAGTGAAGCAGTATTATAAAAAAAATATTGAGGAGGTCACTCCCGGAACATGAAATTATACCTTAGTTTTACACTCAGTTGCCTAAATCTCTAGCAAAATGCTCTAGGATAGATTTTAATTTCCTTCAGCCTTTCAGTCCTATCACTCCCACTTACACATATACCATGATTCAAAAAGAAACCTTTTTCTTGATTAATCATTGATTATATTTCCGCAAGGAACTAAGTTAGCTCTAGAATTTACCCAATACTATTTGCCATAAAAATGTCTACAATGTTCCAAAGCAGCCTAAAATATTTACTTTCTAAATATAAAATATATATAGCTTTATTTCTATGGAAATTCAATTTTCTATAACAATCCCATTGACAATAAAATGATTTGGCTTCTAATGTTAATAACAGGTTTTGATATAGCAAAACTTTCAAAGAAAATAATCATTCTTTTTTAAAATATAGGCATTAATATGACATGTTTTGTAAAGCAAAGAACTACTAATTTTTTGACAAGATACTGTAATCTAAAAGTTTTAGGTATCAAAATAATGATCGATATGTAAATGATATACTCATACCTGACAGCCAAAGAAAAATATTATTTCCTAGATCTTCTTTAAATTCATCATTAAAAATATTACTGGATTCTGGAAATGCTTCCTGGAATGTTGCATAGATAGCTTGTGCCAAACAATCAGGATACACCTATCAAAAAGAGTCATATTAGAATAATTTCATATTTTATATAGCCTATCTCAGCTACCAAAGAAATGATTATTAAGTTGTGAAATATGTATGTCCCTTTTATCTTTTTTTAAAAAATTTAATTCTTTTAATTAAAAAAAATTTATTTATTTTGAGAGAGAGAGTGTGTACCCAGGGGGAAGGGCAGAAAGAGAGAATTCCAAGCAGGCTACACACTGTCAACACAGAGCATGACACAGGGCTTGAACCCATGAACCATGAGATCATGACCTGAGCTGAAATAAAAAGGCAGACTCTTAACTGACTGAGCCACCCAGGCACCCTATGTCCCTTTTTTCTTATAGCTTGCTTTTGGCCACTCCTCACTTCTTTGTACCTCTAACTGAGGGACATGAGCAAAGAAGAGTTGAAAATAGGGGCGCCTGGGTGGCGCAGTCGGTTAAGCGTCCGACTTCGGCCAGGTCACGATCTCGCGGTCCGTGAGTTCGAGCCCCGCGTCGGGATCTGGGCTGATGGCTCAGAGCCTGGAGCCTGTTTCCCATTCTGTGTCTCCCTCTCTCTCTGCCCCTCCCCCGTTCATGCTCTGTCTCTCTCTGTCCCAAAATAAATAAAAACGTTGAAAATAAAGTCAATTTGGCTATTTGTTAGCATTTTAGAAAATTTAATTTGGATAAAGGATGAAGTTAACAAGATAAGGTTTAATTATCATATTTTAAGATAAAGTTTGATGATTATTATTTCATTTAACCTTGGTATTGTTATCCTCTTTTAGAAAGTGACATGTGTAGATCATTATAATAAAAAGTATATTTACATATTTTAAATTTTATTTTATTTTATTTTTTTAATGTTTATTTTTTTTTTCAACGTTTATTTATTTTTGGGACAGAGAGAGACAGAGCATGAACGGGGGAGGGGCAGAGAGAGAGGGAGACACAGAATCGGAAACAGGCTCCAGGCTCTGAGCCATCAGCCCAGAGCCTGACGCGGGGCTCGAACTCCCGGACCGCGAGATCGTGACCTGGCTGAAGTCGGCCGCTTAACCGACTGCCCCACCCAGGCGCCCCTAATGTTTACTTATTTTTGAGAGAGACAGAGCATGAGTTGGGGAGGGGAAGAGAGAGAGAGGGAGACATAGAATCCAAAGCAAGCTCCAGGCTCTGAGCTGTCCGCACAGAACCCGATGGAGGGCTTGAACCCAAGAAGTGCGAGATTATGACCTGAGCTGGAGCCAGATGCTTAACCAACTGAGACACCCAGATGCCCCCATATACACGTATTTTAAATTTGTCATCTTCTCTCTCCCCCATAAACTTCCATATCAATAACAGAATCCTAACAAGATGTGGTTTTAGAACATAGATGTTAATAGGATGAACAAAGTGGTTACTGCTTCTCTGAGCAAGCACGCAATCTTACCACCCAGGTGCCCCTATTTATGTATTTTTTAATTAAAATATGATTTATATATAACCAGTGTAAGTTTAAGGTATACAGCATGTTGATTTGATACGCTTATAAACTGCAATATGATCACCACCATAATATTAGTTAATACCTACATCATGTCACATAATTACCATTTTGTGTGTGTGTGTGTGTGTGTGTGTGTGTGTGTGTGGCTAGAATAACAAACTTTTTTTAAATAACTGAAATCTGTTTAGGTGAGTTAATATGTTGTAATAACTATATATTGTTTACACAGTAAAACTATGATCAGATATCAACAAATATATGGTACTGTATTATTCTATTAGACTTAGAACCCCTAAACTACTAAATTTCTCTTAGGAAGTGACTAAACATAAAAGTTACTATAGTTTTATATTTAAAAATTAAAATATTTTAATTTATTATTCTTGTATTCAGCAGTCAAATAAGTATTTAAAATCACATTTAGCCCTTAATATTAAATGTAAACTTTTGGAATCTAAGTGTCCCTTGGAGGTCACTGTCTTAATCTCTGGAACATAGGAATGTTAATTTATTCAACAAAAGGGCTTTGCAGATTTCATGAAGCTAAAGATCTTAAGTGGGGAGATCATACTGGATTATCCAGTGTGCCTTAAGTGTAATCACAAGTGTCCTTATAAGAGGGAGGCTCTGGAAATTTTACTATAAAAGAGAAGAAGGCAACGTGATGGCAGAAACAGAAGTTAGAGTGATGCGACCAGAAGCCAAAGATTGCTGGCAGCCAGCAGAAGCTAGAAGAGACAAGGAATGGATTCTCCTCTGGGGCCTCTGAAAGAAATTGGCCTTGTTGATACCTCAATTTTAGCCCTATGAGATTCGGTTTGGACTTCTGGACTCTACAAGTCTCAGACAAGGAATTTCTGTTGTTTGAAAAGTCACTAAATTTTTGATAATTTGTTAGAGTAACAATAGGCAACTAACACAGTTACCTAATCCAGGAGTGCTGAAACTTTCTGGTAAATGATGATATTCTTTGAAGAATTCCATGATTTTTGTTTGGTGGTTGGGGGGAATGCTTTAATATATTGGTATGTTTAATTTTATTGAGTGAATCATGAACATTTTTTTTTACTATCAGAAATAATCACATGTTATATTTTGGTATAAGAAGTAATACTGACTATTAAAATTAAAAGGTTGAACAAGGTGAACTAAAAGTTTTATGTGAATATCTCATCTTCATGAGATTAAGGATCAAATGTCAAATTGTGTTGGGAAAATTTCTGAAGGTCTATCATTGTATAACCCTGGAAGAAAGAGAAGTAAAGCCACATTAAATATGTTTAGATTAAGCTAATTTGTACTGAATAGTGGAATATGAAGATGACTTTTTGATTCCTAAATATTAATAAATTTCTCTCTGTTAGGTAAAATAAATCAGATGAGCAAGCAGTAACAAAACCCTAACTTATCTGAGTGAGTTAAAAATAATGGAAATTGGTCAATAAGAGCTGAGGCTTTACTTCTACTTAAACAGCTCTGGAGGAGATAGATGTATAGGGAGGTGGCCTCAAGCATAGAAGCAGAAAGGGAGCATTAAAAGAAGATCAAATCCAGGTCAAGGGGTCAAATCACCAAGATGTACATCTTGTTTGTTCTCAAATGAGGCTTTGAATTTTGAATAAAAACTTCTAATTTCTCCTTGGAAAAAGCTACTGAAAATAGGGACCCAGAAAAAAATCAAGTCATGATTTGAGAAAGGTTATAAATATAGGATCTGTCAGAAGGCATATCAACCCCAGGGGAGAACATTTGGACCAAAATTGTAGGTCTAGACATTGGAGAATGGGGGATATGCAATGGTGCCACTACTATCTTTGTCCATATTAAATAGGCCAGTTATCCTTTTCTCAAAAGCATGGTGTTAAAGCAGGCTTGATTTCATCAAACCATGTTACGTAGGCTAGGCTCACTCACCACAAAAGATAGACTAAGTGGAAAATTATGGATAGGAGAAAGAGCTGTTTTTGTCATTTCTAGGCAATTTACCAAGAATCCTAACCATTAACTAACGTTTACATGCAAATAAGAACAAAATATTTTAGTATTAGGAGAGAAAAATCCTAGTCCATCTTTCAGAACACTATTGTTCCACAAAACAACAATTTATGAATCGCGGTTCTAATCAACCTCTTTCAGCTGTGGAAGTGAGAGACTAAATGTTTTGCCAAGATCATCCAGGTAATTAGTAGCAGATTCTGGACATGAAGCCAAGTCTCCCTATTCCCAGTGCGCTACTGGTTTCCTTTTATGACACTACGTGTATATGACTGTGAGTAAGTAAGATAGGTCAAGATTGAACATAAATATTTGGCAGTTTAAGTTTGTTTATACTTCCATTGTGAAAGACATTTTACTGTTTTTAAGTTTGCTTTACCCAGAAAAACAGTTATCAACTCAAAATATGAATGTATTTCTGATTTACAGATGTCAACACGAAAGTATTTGAATGTGGCTTCTGCTTTGAAATGCTAGATGTTTAAATTTAAAAATATCAGGCGTGCCTGGATGGCTCAGTCAGTTAAGAGTCTGACGTGGGCTCCAGGTCATGATCTCACAGTTCGTGAGTTCGAGCCCAGCATCAGGCTCTGTGCTGACAGAGCTTGGAGCCCGGAGCCTGTTTTGGATTCTCTGTCTCCCTCTCTCTCTGCCGGTCCCCAGCTCACGCTCTGTCTCTGTCTTTCTCTCAAAAATAAACATTTAAAAATTAAAAAAAAATAAATTTAAAAATATCTAATGAAATTCCTACACATTTTCATTTCACATTAAAAGAACACAAAGCCTTTTAATCAATCCTTTTCAATAGTTATTATAATGACAGAAAAGTAAAACAAAAACTTCATAACTATGTCCATTTTTGTTTACTTTAACGAGTGCTTAGCCCTTACACATAATATAAACTTCTCAAGTCCTCTTAAACAGATCAAAAGATATATTATAAGGGAAAAGAAAAATGATTAATTTTATAGATACACAGAAAAAAATAAAAAATATATATAGGATAAGTCAACAGTTTTCACATTATCAATATGCAAACAAAATACCTGTACCACACTAAGGAGATTCTGTAAGACTTTTAGGCGAGGGAATACAATATTCTGAGGGGGAAGCATAACTTTTCATATTTGACCATTACTTACTCTACTTCAGGCAATTTCCTTTCAAAGTAACAAAATAACTTCTAATAAATGTTTGAATAAAATAACTATTTTTTTATTTCATTTGCTCTAAAAATGCTTAGCATAACCAGTTAATTTCTATGTTTACCTGAAGGAATGTATCCTTTCGACTTGCAGGGATGCTCATGAAAAGCATCACATAACTTTCTGAAATTCTCTCAAACAAGGAATCTTGATTTTCTCTGTCAGGCTTAAAAAATAAAAAATGTATGGAATTAAAAGTAATAATACTATAATTAAAAATTGGATTTGTATGCATAATATCAATAATTTTATTTATTCTTAAGAGGCAGATCAGTTGCTATAGTGGAATAAGCATGGGTTTGGTATCATGCGAACCTGAATTTGAATACTGGCTCTGTTATTCATTAGCTGCCTTACCCTGGGCTAATTAGTCCTAGTTTCCTCATCTACCAAATGTATCTGACAATACATATCTTAAAATAGCATAGTAAAATAAAGACAAGGATCATGTTTTGTTTGACTTTGTTTTCCAAGGCCTCAGCACAGTGCCTGGCACACAGAGAGCACACAAACATTTGACAGGTTAATAAAGGTTCCTGCATTAAAGCTGGCATGCAGAGGCAATCAATGAGTTTTAAATTATCTTGTTCTATAACCACTTGAACTCTATTTTTATCAGTAACTCAGCATAAAATTAAAGCAGTTACTAGGATGCGACAGCCACAGCCAGAAGTAGTACAATTGGGACATGATACTAAACTAAAGACACAGTATGTTGTAAGAAGGAAGAAATGTATACACAAAATAATTTCAATATTATAGTGAAGTCCTGATAGGATTAGCTTGGGAAGATGAAGGAGCAGGGGGGCCCTGAACTCACCCCATCCACATTTACAACTAGATATCATCAGCATCCAAGTCAATAGACCAGAGAGCAATCCAAAGACTGGCAGAACAAACTCCACAACTAAATTTAGAGAAGAATCTGCATCTAAAAGGTTAGGAAAGTCAGAAAGGTGGAGGGAGGCTGCCTGTAGGAGGGAGGGAGCTGCATGTCTGGAGAGGGCAAAGAAATGGGCCTTTACACCAGAGAGCTCACATAGGGAAGACTAATCTCCATAGCATTTGACTAGAAAGTAGAGGGGCTGAATTCAGTGAATTTATAAAACCAGTGGTACTTGGAGCCTGGAGCTTTAAAAGTCATCTGACTCAGCACTGGGTGAGCCAGGAGGGCAAGCGATAGCTGGGTCGCCACCCTTAAAGAGACAGCAGTCTGTGTAGACAGGCAACATAAAAATGGTAGTTTATGCAAGTAGTTTATGGTGCTTACAAGAGACTCATTTTAGACCTAAAAACACCTTCAGATTGAAAGTGAAGGGACAGAGAAACATCATGCAAACGGATGTCAAAAGAAAGAGTACCCATAATTAAGTATGGGACAAACAGACTTTAAAACAAAGGCTATAACAAGAGACAAAGAAGGATACTGTATCATAATAAAGGGGACAATCCAACAATATAACAACTGTATATCTTTATGTACTCAACATAAGAGCACCCAAATGCATAAAAGAGTGAGTAACAAACATAAAGGAACTAATCAATAATACAATAGTAGTAGAGAAAACTTTACACCCCACTTAAATCAACAGACAGATCTCTAAACAGAAAATAATCAGGAACAAATAGCTTTGAATGACACTCTGGAACAGATGGACTTAACAGATATATTCAGATTGTCCCATCCTAAAACAGCAGAATTCACATTCTTTTCAAATGCACATGGAACATTCTCCATGTTAGATCACAAATTAGCCCACAAAACTGGCCGCAACAAATTCAAGACGACTAAAGTCATACTATACATCTTTTCTGACCACAACACTATGAAGCTAGAAGTCAACCACAAGACAAAAATCTAAAAAGTCCATAGATACATGGGGTTTAAATAATATGCTACTAAACAATGAATGGGTCAACCAGGAAATACGAGAATAAATTAAAAAGTACATCGAAGCAAATGAAAATGAAAATACAGTGGTCCAAAACCTTTGGGATGCAGAAAACGCGGTTCTAAGATGGAAGTTTATAGCAATACAGGCCTATATCAGGAAGCAAGAAAAACCTCAAACAACCAAACCTTACACCTACAGGAACTAGAAATCTGAAAGCAGCAGAAGGAAGGAAATAATAAAGATCAGAGCAGAAATAAATGATACAGAAACTAAAAAAACAACAGAACAGATCAATGAGCTGATTCTTTGAAAAAAATCAATAATTGATAACCTTTTAGCCAGACTTATCAAAAAGGAAAGAAAAAGGACTAAAATAAGTAAAATCATAAAAGAGAGAGGGGAAATATCAACCAAACACTACAGAAATACAAACAATTATCAGTGAATATTATGAAAAACTATATGCCAATAAATTGGACGACATAAAAGACATGGATAAATTCTTAGAAACATGTAAACTACCAAAACTTAAAAAGGAAGAAATACAAAATTTGAATAGATGGATAACCAGCAAAGACATTGGGTTAAAAAAAACAACAAAAAAACAAAAAACAGAACCTCCCAACAAATAAAAGTCCAGGACCAGATGGCTTCACAGGCAAATTCTACCAAACATTTAAAGAAGAGTTAATACCTATTCTCTTCAAACTATTCTAAAAAAAGAAAAGGAAGGAAACTTCCAAATTCATTCTATGAAGCCAGCATTATCCCAATACTAAAACCAGATAAAGACACCATTAAAAAAGAGAACTATAGGCCAATCTCTCTGATGAACACAGATGCAAAAATCCTCAATAAAATACTAGTAGGCTAAATTCAACAATACATTAAAAAATCATTTACTGGCATACCTGGGTTGTTCAGTCAGTTGAGCATCTGACTCTTGATTTTTGGGTCAGGTCATGATCTCATGGTTCATGGGTTTAAGCCCCACATTGGGCTCTGTGCTGATAGCATGGAGCCTGCTTGGGATTATCTCTCTCTCTCTGCCCCTCCCCTTGCTTGCATGCACCCTCTCTCAAAATAAATAAACATTTAAAAAAAAATCATACTTCATTCTGGGAATAAATCCCATTGGTCAAAGTGTATAATCCTTTAATATGCTGAACTGAGTTTGCTAGTGTTTTGTTGAGGATTTTTGCATCAATATTCATCAAAGAGAATTTTGGTCTATGGATTATTTTGTTTCTTATAATATCTTTGGCTTTGGTGTCAGCTTTATGTTATTCATTTATAAATTCCATTTTGGTCAGAAAACATACTCTGTATGACTTTATTATTTTAAATTTGTTAGGATGTTTTCCTAGCTCAGAAAGTCGTTGGTAAATGTCTAATGTGTACTTGAGAAAAATTTATATTATGTTGTGTCAGGAGAAACATTTAGTAAATGTCAATTAGATTGATCAATCTGGTTGACAGTGTTGCTCAACCTTCTATATAATTACTGATTTTTTTGTATATTTTACCAATTATTGAGAATGAGGTGTTAGAACATCTAAGTATATTTATGACTTTTCCTATTATTAATAATGATGAATCAACCAATTTACCATCATACAATTAACTCTCTTTTTTCCTGCTAACATTCTTTGCTTTGAAATTTACTCTACATTATAAATTTTAAAAAGTTGTAATGTTATACGTTATATGGGTTTCCTCTGTTGTTTTATGGGTGGGAATAATGTGCTTTCCAGATTTCTGAATCTTTGGGGGAGCCCAAGTCCCAAGGGCAATTTTTAAAAATATTAAGTATATTGCAATATCATTACTGAAGTTCTTCTAGTCAAACATCATCAGGGAAACTTTTGTTAATTAGCCTATACATTGGCCCCCAATTTTTGGAATACTGTGTTCTCTCAATTAATATAATAATAATAATAATAATAATAATAGATATATCCATTAAACACTATATACGTAGCTCCATGTAAACAAGTTTACATGTACTTTCTCATTTAACCCAAGAAACATACAAAGTATGTGATTTTTTTATTTTATGAAAGATTTAGAGAGGTAAATAACTATTCTAGGACACATTATTTACTAAGTGGATAAACTTGTTGTTGAAAGTCAGATCTCTTAATTCTATTGTGTTGAATCCCATATTATATTTATACAGTATTTCAAAGTTTACTAGGTGTCTTCTTATTCATGTCACTTTTAATACAACAACTTTAGGGGGAAAAAGCAGGGTATATGTGATTTTCTACCTGTTTTGTTTTTTAGAGATGAGATCAGTGAAGTTCAGAGAGGTTTTTTGACTAGCCTAAAGTTTCACAATAATTATTTGGGAAAACCAGATTTAAAATTCTACTAGACCAAGTTATCACTAAACATAGGCAATAAAGGAAATATGCTTTTATATTAATCTATAACAATTACTGAAATATGTTTTAAAGCTACCATGCTGAAGCATGCTACATTCTAGAATATGATTATGTATTTTGTCATATAAACTATTGGTAATTGAACAAGTGGTTTCTGGTTTTACCATATTCTAGGTATAAAATCAGTACTATTTATTCTTCATAAAGTGTACTCAAATATAGATAGAATTGATATGTTTTGCATACATCTAAAACGATAGTAAAGCTTAAAAGAGGAGCTTACCTAACAAAACAAATATTCAAGGAATAGCTCTATTCCCACTTTATATAGTTCACTAGCTTCAACATAATATGTATATATGTTATAATAAACCCTCTTAGAAATAAAGTCATAGATAACATACAATGAACAAAACAGATGAAAGAGGTATTGTTCTCATTAAATCATGGAAAGTTTGCTTCAATTTGATCTGGATCCCTAAACTGCCCCTTTCAGTTCCCTAGAACACTAGCAGAAGACTGATCCAACTAATTTACATATTCCTTCTCAAAACAAGTCAAATATAATGACACCAGAAATCTTATTAAGTTCTAATGTTTTAAAGTTATTACTAAATTATTACATTTTAATTTCAGAAAGCCACTAGTTTCTAGAGAATAGCTTGGTTAAAGATAAAAAAAAATCTAATTCCTTATTATTCCAAAACAATATAAATGCAGTGGGTCATTAATATTTTGGTGTCAAATCTGTGTTTGTTCAAAGCAATAAAATACTATTATTGCCTGACAAAACAATTACTAGAAACACTCTTAGATTATGTTTCCTTCAAAAACTTGTTATATATAATCTTAACAGATTAAAGCCGGAATGTAATGTTTCTCTGTTTCAAGGAAAAACATAAATTCAGCATCCAGATCTAGAGAAAGAAATTTAAGGTGATGAAATTCTCCTGATTTCACGAATTTCCCTAGATAATGCTATATCCAGAGCTCCTAACAATATCAGAAATACAGGACAGATAACTTTAATCTAGAATTACACTAATTATTCTAACATATAGCACTAACTGAATGGTTTGTATGTAAAACTGGTTAACACCCATTTCTTCATGGTACAAAATTCCTGTGACAATCCATAAGTAGCTTTGTGCAAGTAATTTGAGCTGGGGAAAGGTAGAGAGTGGAGTCTATTTGTAAACTTCTTTGATGTAATGGCACATCTTCTTAGTGCTTGGGCTGTGATCCCAGGGTTCCTCATTCTGCTACTCTCCCAGATCCAGAGGACATACAACAGTCATTGGTATTCACCACTTTTCCCAGCCTCCCATATTCTCTAACTGTAAGACTCATGTGCTTCTTATTTCCATTCTCTTACTGTTTCCCAGATATCTTTCCCAGATATCCAGATGTCTTTCTCTTCTTAAGCCCAATCAGAGTTTTTTACTTTTCTGAATCAAATAAAGACCCTGTATCCATCAGAGGTATGGACTATTTTCCAGATGAAAATTCCTGCAATGATTTACAGCGGGTTTTCTGTTTACCTGTTTGTCAGCACATTATAGCACTGAGTTAAGCTAAAACTGTATTATTCACTACACTGAATTCACCAATTTTTTTCTGATTAATGAAGATTCAGGATCTTTGAAATCCATATTAAAGTTTTAACTCCTCTGAAAGAACTCTAGATTTTTTTTTTAAGTTTATTTATTTATTGAGAGAGAACACACACACACACACACACACACACACACACACACACAGGCAAGCAGGGGAGGGACAGAGAGAGAGAGAGAGGGAGAGAGAGAATCCCATGCAGGCTCTTGGCTGCCAGTGTAGAGCCGGATGCAGGCCTCAAACTCAAAAACCATGAGATCATGACCTGAGCCGAAGTCAGATGCTTAACCAACTGAATCATCCAGGTGCTCCAGAAAGAACTCTAGATTTTAAACAGGATTTCTAACATGTGAAGAATACTAAAAACCCAATTTCTGTGAAAGGACCCAAAAAACACTTTTTTGTACCACTGCTATCTCTACTAAAAAATTCACTGTACTACAAATCAACTTAAAAAAAGAAGTTTAAAAAATAACATCATACCTTAAATTTATGCAGACACCACCACCAAAATGAATCATGTAAAAGAGCAATAGAAGCTTCTGAGAGAAAATGGGTCTTCCAGATTTTAAAAACTTTTTCCTGTGGAACAAAAGACACATGGAGATCAAATTAAAATACATTATAAAACATGTTAATGTAAATAGGCTATATATAGAGTATGTATTCAATGGTTATAGACTAGCACTGTTCAATAGAAATTTAGTTGAGCCATGTAGATAATATTAAATTTTCTAGTAGCCAATTTAAAAAAGTAAAAAGTGAAATTAATTTTGATGACATATTTTATTTAATAAAATATATTTAAAATATTATCATTTCAACATATAATTGTAAAAAATTCTTTTTTTAATGTTTATTTTTGAGAGAGAGAGAGAGTGTGTGTGTGTGAGTGTGTGAGTGTGTGAGGGGCAGAGAAAGAATCAGAAGCAGGTTCCAGGCTCTAATCTGTCAGCACAGAGCCCAATACAGGGCTCAAACTCATGAACTGTGAGATCATGACCTGAGCAGAAGTCGGACGCTTAAACGACTGAGCCACCCAGGTTCTCCTGTTGTAAAAAATTCTTAATGAAATATTTTACATTCTTTTGTGGGAGCAGGTGTTTGAAATACTGTATATATTTTATATTTATAGCACATCTCAATTTGAACAATTCATTTTTATCATAAATACTAGGTCAGTATTTAGACTTCATAAAATACAGAGTTGTGATTTTGCTCCAACCACAATTGAGAGCTTTCAATAACTGAATCACCTATTACTTTTAAAATTCATATACAAGTTAATTAAAAGAAATGAAATAAAAAATTCATCTCAGTCACACTAACCACATTTCATATGCTCAACAATCAGATTTGCATAGTAGTTATTGAAATGAGATTGTAGGCTAGACTAAGAACAGCAAAAATTCCACAATACATGATACAATTTCCTTTTTATACTAAAGACAGATACCAACAATATTGGAATTCTATCCCAACAAGCCCCATTGTAAGTCTAGACCCTATCTAAATAGAGTGTACTCTTTAGGCAATTGATAAAAATTGTCACAAAAAGTTAAATCTATTTATGTTGACCAGAAATCTTGCTTTAAATAGGCACATTCAATAGATGATTTTATCTTATTGATTTACTAAAAGTTTTAAAATGCCAGATTCATTACAGTTCAAGACTCACTTTAATGAAATCTATAGGTATGAATTACTGTTCCTCAAGTACAAGTCTACAAAAGGATATCATGCTTACTTTTATGCCAAAAAAGATTCCTTGTCATGATTCTGTGGGGGCACTTCTCTTTCATAGGACACTAATTATAGTATGGAGTCCATTCGTAACAGCTTCAATTTAGTACTTAGTACTTAACAGCTTAGATTTAGTACTTCTTAATTATAAGGAAATATGTAAAGTACATAAAGAAAAAAAAGTAGAAAATTGAAATACAGGGAAAAGCTGAATAGTTTTGTTTAAATTATTTGCAAATTTCAAGCAAAGATTCTTTTCAGTGTACAGTAAGTGCATGATTGCTTCTATTCTGTTTTGGCTATGTCTAGTATCACTAACTTCCTTTTTCAGTAAAATTTCAAATTCTTTAAAGTTTATCAATATTTAGTCAAAACAATCAAAAATTGGAAATTGCCCCAAAACCCCAAGCACAGCTGAAAAAGTTAAAAGGTTCTCTCTTCTCCTCTCACCACTCTGTGATACTTTTTTTTTTTTTGATTTAAGTAAATGTAAACATATCTTAAAACCTAGATTATCTAACTTGGAACTTTATTTTTTTCCTAACATTGAGTCTAGGTTAGACAAAATGACTTCTAATTTTCTTTTGAATTTCTATTCATGTATATCATTATGCCTGTGGCTCAGCTTTCTACTCTTATTCAGAATATAGGTCATTTTTCACTCACTTTAATTCAATAAAGTGTTTAGTAAGCATCACCTGTAACCATGGTTCTGTTCTGGGAGGTAGAGGGAATAATGTACACTTTCTCTCATCAAGGAACTAAATTAATGACTGTATGTAAAGGAACATGTTTGGATGGGGTTAGGTGAATTCGTTAATTCCATGGATTCCCATACTTCCATGCGTGTAACAGAAGCCCTATAACCTCCTCTTTGCAAGTTTCAGATCCATAAGTTCAATCCCTTGGTCTGTTATCATAAGTATTTCTATGAAATAATCTTCTCTGATTATTTTTATTTTCCTACACTTACTCTCTTTACTATAACCTCATAATTTATTTTAATGCTATTGCATTGTACATGCTATAGTAAACCAATTTAAATTCTTTTTTGAAATCAGCTAGGGATATTACCAAATAAAACACTGGGTATCTATGCCAAGATATACCCAGATGCTTGTCATACTCCATCCACCCTCTACCCATATCTACTTCCACTCTTCACTTTACTATTTCTTTCAAAAATGCAAGCATCCTCCAAATTAACCATATTAAAAATTCCTCATAGCTGCACTTTTATGTCTTGTTTATGTGATTATCTTCTGATTTGTGTTAGATGTACTGGATCCATATTTTTTTTAATTTTTTTTAACGTTTATTTATTTTTGAGACAGAGAGAGACAGAGCATGAACGGGGGAGGGGCAGAGAGAGAGGGAGACACAGAATCTGAAACAGGCTCCAGGCTCTGAGCAGTCAGCACAGAGCCCGACGCGGGGCTCGAACTCACGGACCGCGAGATCGTGACCTGAGCTGAAGTCGGACACTCAACCGACTGAGCCACCCAGGTGCCCCATGGATCCATATTTAAAATATAGTAGTACCATCTTAGAACATGGAATTTTAGAGTTAGAAAAAATATTACAGATTATCTAGAACATTCATAAACTGATTTGAATCACAAATTTTTTATAACAATAAAATATTTTTCCTGAGGAAAGTGTGGAAAATATAGTCAGAGAAAAGAAATAAATATGCTCATGATCCAGGCATAACTATAATTAGCACCTATAGTATTTCTCTACAAAAATGGGATCAGGTGATTGTATAAAGAGGTCACACTAAGCCTTCACTGTCACCAAAATCCCACAAAATGTAAAAGAGAATTGAAAAACATTTGTATTAGCATGGAAAATAAGAGAGAGTGTCATTACTGAATCTAGATATAGTTGTTAATAGAGGTGCTCTGTAGTTGCCTGAGGGTAAGCAGAAGATCCAAACCAGGTCAATCAGACTCTACTTCTTTTTTTTTTTAATTTTTTTTTCAACGTTTTTTATTTATTTTTGGGACAGAGAGAGACAGAGCATGAACGGGGGAGGGGCAGAGAGAGAGGGAGACACAGAATCGGAAACAGGCTCCAGGCTCCGAGCCACCAGCCCAGAGCCTGACGCGGGGCTTGAACTCACGGACCGCGAGATCGTGACCTGGCTGAAGTCGGCGCTTAACCGACTGCGCCACCCAGGCGCCCCCAGACTCTACTTCTTGTAACACTGCAACCATTAGGAGGGGCTTAATTGTTGATTATGTTCCTTCTGATGGACTATTGTAGGAGAGGAAACAAACAGGGATTTTGGGTTGAGAAACAAAGAGGCACAGGAAAGATGGAGGTGAAAGATGGGGAAGAGGGCCTACCAGGAGCCAACTTCATCTCAGAGAACTGTCTGAAAGGAATCTGCTTGGGGGTAAGGGAGCGTTGTTTAAGCCTTCAGGAAATGGAAACCTTGTTAGGTGACCACCTAATATTTAAGTGGGAAATCAGTATTAGTAACCACACAACTCTCATCCCACCTTTGGCAACCAATGGGCAATGATCTAGTTACCTTCCTATGTTTACAGTTTTTCAACTGGCCACCCTGTGGAGATACTACTCAAAAATTCCCCAGACACTTGGAGGCACAAAAGATGGGATTGTGGGGAAGGGCTCCCATAAGTTATTTTGGGGTCAAAATAAGCAGACTAAAATATCTTGAGCTGATAAAGCAGGAGAGGGAGGGGAAAACACTTGTTACAGTCACATGCCAAGGCAATGCACAGTAGCAACCTCAGACTCCTGAGGCAGTAACACAGAGTCCAATACATTTTTTTCTAGTGATCAGGGTACTAAATATCACTGGTCTTTTCCTGACAGACTTAATGCCTTCAAAATTCAATCATGCTTATGCTTAATACCTAATTTGTCATAGCTTTAAATAAAGGCCTGATTCATTAAATCATATTCTCAAAATGTATCATATAATAACAAGGTTTACGTACATCAAACTTCTGGGTTTTTAAAATAAAAAGATAAATTTGTTCAGCATCCAAATGTCTGGGTAGTTGAGTAAGCTCATTTGTTTTGAATCCTGAGAAGCTGCAACCCTAGAAAGAGGGAAGTATCACAGAACACTAATTACTTCACCCTTTTCAGTATAGTAGTCTCACAGGACTACAGAAGACAGATAAATATTTAACTATAATTCATTAACATAATTATTTCACTTTCTCCTATTAAAATAAGTGAAAAATATTTATCCTACCTTAAAAAAATCTTCATATTTTCTGATTCCATGAAATTAAGAGCCCTGGCATATTCATATGCCAAATACAAAAGCAAAACAAAATCATATTTCAGAACCAACTTTGATCAAGAATTTTAGCTAAACTACCGATAAAGAAAGGCAGGAGAAAGCTTCTATACCTGTACCCACCTCTTCCCTCAGGGCTCCATCTATATTTATAGCTACATCTATGTTATTATAAACATTTTTCATTTCCACATAATACTTTTTAAAAAATGTTTATTTATTTTGAGAGAGAGAGAGACAGAGAGACAGAGAGACAGAGAGTGGGGGAAGGGCAGAGAAAGACAGGGAGACAGAATCTCAAGCAGACTCCACAGCTGTCAGTTCAAAGCCTGATGAGGGGCTTGAACCCACAAACTGTGAGATTCTGACCTGAGCTGAAACCAAGAGTCAGATGCTTAACTGACAGCCACCCAGGCGCCCCTCTACATAATACTTTTGATACATAATCTCATAGAACAGAAATTTTAAATACCTCTACAGTCTTCTTCGTCTCCATTTCATCTGAAAGCTGGAAAACATTTAAAACAAAATCTTTAAAAATCTTTTAAATTTTTATATTTTGTAAATTTGTTCAGATAACTTGTGTGGGTGTGTGTGTGCATGCGTGTGTGTATATCTGCTACCGAAGCCTAGAATGCTGTTGCTGTGCTAGATGATAGGAATACAAAGATGGTCCTTGCCCTCAAGCTAGTCATAGTTCAATAAGGGAATCAGATATGTATACAAACAAAACACAGAGGGATAAAGGGCTATAACAGAAATATAAAACTACTTATTGCCGTTTTGGTTCACTGGGAAATAGACTCTAAGGTGAAATTTAGTGTGCAGAATATCTACTGGGAGTGCCTTTGGGATCAATATCTATGGAAGGCAAAGAGAGAGGCATAATTGGGAAGTTAGAGAAGTCAGCTGTAATATATGCCTAACAACCTCAAAGCACTCTAAAAAGGGCTTTAGAGCTGAAAGGGCCCATCACAGTTATCCTGCACTGGGTTGAAATAGCTAGGCCTTTCCACCTCCAACTTGATCAGTCACTGGATTTAGGCGGTTCCTGGAAGAGTATGTCTTTAGAAGAGGAAGTTCTCTGTAGGTGAAGCAAACCCCGAAATGGGCTGACAGCTAAAGGGTGTCCCCTAAAGCACTCTTAGCAGCTAGGGCAACAGATCCTTGACAGGCAGTTTAGGTGGTGTATCTCTATGTCCCCCATTCTACTTTACACAGAGAATAAGTAGCCTGTATACATTAGTTTTTGATCATTTCCACATCCCTACTTCCTCCAGGAATAACTAAACTTACAGGCAAATCACACACATAAACACACACATTATACAATACGTATGTTGTAAAGGAAATGACAAAGGAAACAAATTTGAAAGAACGAGAGAAGATTACTAACTGAAGGAAGATGACATTATTGACATTTAAAAAAGTATGCAAAGGAGCAAAAAAAGATTATTTAGGGAAAATAATCAATTATAATAAAAACAGACAGCTGTGTGCTTGAGAGCTATAGATATAATTAGTCAATGAGGATGGGGTCAGATTTAGAAAGATGTTAATGTTAATCTCAAAGTCCTGGCTTTATTCTGTGGGAAGCAAAGATATACTAGAAGTTTTCAAAGAGCACAGTAACAGTAATACAGAACTAGTGTTTGATTATACAACCTAGAAAAGATATCACAAAAATATAAATAACACATGTTAAAATCCAGATAAAAAAATCCAATAAAACACATTTAGCAATAAAAATAATTTAAACTTTTGTTAGTATAATTCATCTAAAGGTCATTGCAATAGATCCTCAGAAGTTATCTGATAAAATTCAAAAGTCAGAATTTTTTAAATTCCTTTAAAATTTAAAAAAAAAAAGAAATCACCAGTGTTTTCATGTTCCCACAACCTAGAATGGATTACTGTTGACATTTTAGTATTTGCCTAAGACTTTTCTTTTTAATGTTTATTTTTGAGAGAGAGAGAGACAGAGCGTGAGCAGGGGAGAGGCAGAGAGAGAGGGAGACAGAGAATCTGAAGCAGGCTCCAGGCTCTGAGCTGTCAGCACAGAGCCCGATGTAGGGCTCAAACTCATGAACTGTGAGATCATGACCTGAGCTAAAGTCAGATGCTTAACCAAGTGAGTTACCCAGGCACCCCTGCTTAACACTAATTTTTAAAATAAAATGTGAAATTTATATAATAAAGTATAAAGTTCAGATTCCCTTTTTACCATGATCTCTATAGTTCTATTCAGTGTTTCCCTTCCTTCAGATAGTCACTATTATTTTTGTTGGGTTTGCATTCCTTCCATTCCATTAACAGATTTTTACCTATGTGTGTACCTATACATGAAGAATATGAACACTTCTTGTGTGTTTTTAAAATATAAAGGAATCATATCAACTGTACATACTATTTGGTAATTTGCTTTTTTTTTTTAATTTAAATTCAAATTCACTAACAGTATAGTCTTGGCTTCACAAGTAGACTCAGTGATTCATCTCTTACACATAACACCCAGGGCTCATCCCAAAAGGTTACCTCTTTAATGCCCATTACCCATTTAAAACCATCCCTCTAACCACCTCCCCTCGAGGAACCCTCAGTTTTTCTCTATATTTAAGAATTTCTTATGGTTTACCTCCCTCTCTGTTTTAATCTTATTTTTCCTTACTTTCCTCTATGTTCATCTGTTAACTTTCTTAAATTCCACATGAGTGAAATCATATATTATCTGTTTTTCTCTGACTTTTTTCACTTAGTATAATACTCTCTAGTTCTATCCACGTTGTTGCAAATGGCAATATTTCATTCTTTTTCATCGCCAAGTAGTATTTCATTGTATATATATATACCACATCTCCTCTAAAACAAACTACTCATGAACAACAGATGTTGGCAAGGATGTGGTGAAAGGGGAACACTTTTGCACTGTTGGTGGGAATGCAAACTGGTGCAGCCACTCTGGAAAACAGTATGGAGGTTCCTCAAAAATTAAAAATAGAACTACCCTATGAACTAGCAACTGCACTATTAGGAATTTACCCAAAGGATACAAAAATACTTATATGAAGGGGCACATGCACCCCAATGTTTACAGCAGCATTATCAACAGTAGTCAAATTATGGAGAGACCCCATATGTCCATTGACTGATGAATGGGTAATTTGTTTTTTTTCACTCAATATTATGTTTTGACAATCTACCCAAGTTGATATTTATGAAATCTGTTAACTTCCACACAGCATTTCTGCCAACCTACCTAATCCCCCTGCAAAATATAAACAATAATTAAATAAACAGAAGTTCATAGTCAACTTTTGCCAAACATCCAAAACACAAATGATATCTAAATCTATATCTAAATCTGTATCTCTATCTATATCTGAATCTATATCTATATATCTATAAAACAAATGATATCCCAATATAACTACTATATTCTATAGTTTACAAACTAGAAAGAGAAATATAGCTAAGTAACTCATTTTCTGGGATTAGTTTAATTTTCATATGAAAACCAAAAGAAAATCATATCTTATCAAACACACATGCAAACATCCACACAAAACAATAGCGAATCCAATCCAGTAATGTAATAAAAAAGTATACCCTAAGAATATAAGAATATAAGAAGAGAATATTAGAATATAAGAATGGCTCAACTTCTGAAAAGCTACTAATGCAATCTGACACATTCATAGATTAAAAGTTGAAAGTAGCTTCTGCTATCATCACTGTGGATTATCTTCCTCTCTTTTCAAACCATGGAGATTCTGTTTCAAGTATTTGAGCAAGGAGATATCTATACCTATAGCTGATCTCTATCAACATCACATACACATATCTTTAATAAACTAGGAATAAAAATAAATTTGATTGTGTAAAAAAAGATTGCTATCTAAACATTTAAAATGATGCCTAATAGCAAAGTACTATCATTTTTTCTAAATTGAAGACAAGATGAGAAACCACTAATGCTATTGACTAGTATGCATATACCAAAAATAATTTCCTATATACCAACAATAACCCATTTAATAACTAATGGAAAAATATCTCAGTGACATTAGTAATTAAAACTTAAGATACCTAAGAATAAATTTAACAGGGGATGTTTAGACCTCATATGAAGAAAATCACACAAATTTACTGATGACCTAAAACAAAATTCTTATGTTTTACTCCCTTACACAAAAATAAACATGAGATGAATTAAAGAATTATGCACACACACACACAATTATCTGTAAGAATGATACAACAGAACACAGGTGAAGGTATGTATGATCTTTTGATGAAGGAAGACTTCTTAAATATTATGGCACTAAAGACAGAAAACTTCAATAGAAAATTATAGATCCATAAAAATATAAAATTCTATATGACCAAAAAAAAAAAAAACCTTCTTTGGTCTAAAAACTACAAAGAAAGTGGTATAAATATGTATAACACATATTACTGAAAGGGTTAACATTTTTAAAGCACAAACAGCTGTAAAAATGAAAAAAGAACAGCCCCCCAAATGGCCAAAGTTCATAAATAGGCAACTCACAGTAACAGAAACACAAAGGCTAAGTAAAACCTGAAGTATCAACTTCATTAGTAAAACATATGCAATTCATAACATTTATGCCAATCAACTGTGCAAACATTCAAACATATAGTATTAAATGTGGACAAGGAAATGGGCAAGGGATCAATCACAAACTCTATTGTTACAAATATAAATTGGTACTACTTTTGTAGAGAACAATTTGGTAATACATATCAAAACACTTAGGTTTTCACATTTCTTTTCCCATGCGGTTCCACTTCTGGAAATTTATCTTAAGAAAATAATCCTGGATGAGCACTATCTTTAGCTCCAGATAAGTTCAGAGCAGCTTTGTAAATAATACTGAATAATGAAAACTAACTTAAGTGTCTAACCAAAGAGCTATTACATTAGTTTACGCTTAATATGGTGAAGAAAAATATTTACTGATGAAAATTTCATAATACATTTAATGAATTAGAAATATATAATTTAAGATCATAGAATAAGATGGCGGCGTAGGAGGACGCTGGGCTCACCGCGCGTCCTGCTGATCACTTAGATTCCACCTACACCTGCCTAAATAACCCAGAAAACCACCAGAGGATTAGCAGAATGGAATCGCCAGAGCCAAGCGCAGACGAGAGGCCCACGGAAGAGGGTAGGAAGGGCGGCGAGGCGGTGCGTGCTCCACGGACTGGCGGGAGGGAGCCGGGGCGGAGGGGCGGCTCTCCGGCCAAACAGAGCCCCCGAGTCTGGCTTGCAAAAAGCGGAGGGGCCTGACGGACTGTGTTCCGACAGCAAGCGCGACGTAGCGGCTGGGAGGTCATAAGTTAACAGCTCTGCTCAGAAAGCGGGAAGGCTGGAGGACAAAGGGAAGGAGAGCTGCTGAGCCCCCTGACGACAGAGCTCAGTTTGGTGGGGAACAAAGGCGCTCGCCAGCGCCATCTCCCCCGCCCATCCCCCAGCCAAAATCC